GGATGGGAGTTTTCCTGATGACTTCTTTGGTCTATATTATTTGTGACTGACTGACTTGTGCTTGACGCATTACAGCATGGATTTTGTGTATTGTTAGGTTTTGTTCCTCAGACCAGGATCAATCTTCTTCTGGTGTTCATTTTAAACTTGCAATAAAAGATTCAAAAGAAAAAAAAAGATCAAGAGCTGTTTTTGTATTTGCTTTAAACATAAGTCCTAAAATTTTCAGTGAATGATAGATAGGAAGTAAGTGAGACTGATAACTCAAAAGACCATTTTATTTTGTCGGCAAAGATTCTAGCTTCGTTTCTTCCTCACTAAAGGGAGCCTCTCCGAGAAAAGAACCCGATGCCAGATAATGATGTCATTTTTAGCTTATCTTTGTGCATTCTGCTTTCCTTTCTCTGGATTTATCTCGAGTTCCCTCTTACAGTAGTTTCCATGGCATTGGTCTGCTGTGGGTACTGTTATGCTTCATAATTATCTTTGTAAAACATATGCATAAATAGCTACCAAGAATATCTTGTTTGTTTGTTTTCCTTATAAACCTCGTAGAAGGGACAAGCATTGTCAGTAATACTGAATAATGGTTTTGAGAAAGGTCTCTCTGGAGATGAGCAAAATTTTCCGTATGTGTGTGAAAGGAAAGCAAAGGCATCTGTGGACTTGTATTTATTGTTATAGACACTTTAGACTAACAGCTGGTCTTCTGTTGAGAAAGAAAAAGTCTTAGTCAAGGTGCTATATTTGCCTTTTGTTTGTTTGTTTGTTTGTCTTTCAATATACATTTTTTTCTTATTTAGTTTATCGACAGCAAGAGTGAAGCTCCAGATTCTCAGCTCACGTGAACAAACACAGTCATACCAGCTGAGAATCTAGCTGCAAACGTTTGTTTTATGCCTGTGTTTGTATTAGACCCATTCTTGATGCCAAAAAGAGCTTATCAGATAAGGACGTGGCATTTGGCAGGATGTAGGCTGGACAGGCGAGCCCACAGAAGAACGTTTTGGGTGCAGTAACAGATAGTAGGTCTTCGCACACAAAACAACATATCGTTAGCAGCAGTTGTTTAAACACTGCTAAACACTGTTTAAACATCTTCATAACCAGAGTTTGGCTCGGGAAAGAAAGGTCTGTCTTGATGAAGCTCTCTCTTGCTATCATCTGGCCCAGCATGCAAGAGTCGCTGGGAAAAAATAGCGAGGCCTACAGTAAGGGAGAGTGTATTGATACGTAAAGCAAGAAGATTATAGGCAACGTGTAAGGGTTTAAGCGACTGGGGTTGTTGGATTTCTCAGATCTGCAAAGAAGCATTAGAACCAAGCCTGAATGCGCATGAAGAGCTGGCCGTGAAACTAAATAGGAGAACATGAGATACAGTCTCTCTCTCTCGATTTGCAGAAAAAGGACTCAGAGTGAAACAGTTGCTAGGAATAATGCCCCAAATAGCGGAACAGCTGCTGTAGTAAAAGGATTTTGAATAATTTGATTGTGCAACAAAGAATGGAAGCCTTTGAGGTGGTCTATTCTTTTTCTTTAACAGAAGCAGTAAAACACACCAGAGGTACATGCATGTTTTAAATATATGAGAACTCTGACATCCAGATGTTGCTGGTGATACAGAGATTCCCTAATTAGAAACAGGATCATTTCTGGGAGAAGTGGTTCATGTTTAAGGCACAGAGAAGTAGTGGGAAGGGGAATCTGACTCTAGAGAAATGCCTCCAAAGAGCCAGGATAAATGGTCTATTCAGAAAAAATATACTGACTTCAGCATAGAAAGTTACATTTCTCTGCATTTGTTCATTCCTGTGATAGCTGTGGCAATGACCATAGGACTGTTGACAGTTGGGGGAAAAAAAAAAGAAAAAAGCAGGCTGACAAGCTTGAAAGGTGCATTTTATAGCGGTGAGAATGCCCGAAGTACACTATCAACATTACTAAAGACTTAGGATTTATCCTCGAATTACTGTGCCTGGATTCTGGCCGCTCATGCACTTAAAAATAGTATATGACTGCAACATTCGCTTGGGTGAAATTTCTGCCTTAGATCTTTGGGCTCAGGGAAGAGTAATGAGATAAACGAGCAAGACTCATAGCCCTCACAGTTACAAAGATGTTTCCTGTCTGTTTCCCAGGTAAGCCTAAGAGCTCAGAGATGGTTGTGATCCCAGGTCTTTGCAACTCAGCCTTCCCTGGGGAGCTGCAGATCTGTGTGCTTTGCTTACAGTAACGCTTTTGATTGAAATAGTAATGATGTCAACTTGTATTGAATTATGAAGCCTTCATTTCACCTTTGTTTTCTTCATGTAGGTACTAAGGATAAACTGTATCCTGACACCTTTTACGTATATCACTTTGTTTTTATTGAAAGTTAGCAAAGTGGACACTGAAACCTTCAGACTGAGCAGTTCCCATATACCCTGAATTAGCAATGAACATATAAAGTCCTGTCCTTAGGAACTGTACTTCTTCACTTTGACTGCTTACTGAAAGGGGAAGAAAAAGGAGAAAACTTAAATTCTGTGCAAGATGACTGAATGTACAAGTCACAGTTATAACTGAAGCTTACAGTAAATTAGTTGTTAACCAATGATTATTATTTTAAGAACTGCTACATGCTTCAAGATATCGCTGCATCAATCCTGAAAAAAAAGACAGAATAATTGCATATGCTTACTGCAAAAATGGTATGCACGACTTGAATAGTAAAGACATAAAAGGGAGAATACTTCCTTCACCCTGCCATTTCC